TCCGAGTGACAATATGGGAATTGCATAACATTGTGGATGTTGGCCACTTAAAGATGGATATTGAATTCGAAAAGAGGTAACAACAAGCGAAGGATGGTCTAGAAAGGGAGGGATGGTAGGTCAACTAATTGAACAAGAGTGGGCTATGTACAGACACCGAAACGACAGAGTCGTGTCATTTTGATATGTCCCTTGATATCGCACTCCAAGTACGAGTACCGCCTAATCCGTAGTTCGACTTGGCCTAGGTTGAGTTAGGCCTGAGCCGTCATAATCGCGCCAAGTACGAGGTATATAGGTGAGGACGGCGATTTCGATCCCTCCGTGATTTGGAAGACCCTTATCTCGACGTCGATATGGCTGACTCGGTGTGAGAAGCCCACTCCTCGCACGGCTAAAGTGGGTGAGGAGATACATATCTCCAGGATCTCACAGCCTCTTTATGTTCTTTTACATAACCCTGTATCTCTTTATGCAGACGGGCATCGCGGATCTGTATCGCGTAGGATGCTGTGGGTGGTACGAGGTACTGTAGGTACATTGTCTGGTGTTGTCTGAGATAGGCAATCGATCAGACACGGGCTGGCGAGAACGCTGTCTGATCAGATGGGCTGTGCTTTAGTATGATTGTGGGACCTGCAGTCGATAAATAGAGAAGTAATGCGCGAGTAGCGAGTGTGGACTAGGCACGGCGGCAGTACTACGCCTGCTCCATGTCGACATGTCCGCAGGCAGCTGGCTGGGGTAATTATTGTGGTGTGTGCTAACCAGAAATATCACCTCGAGTCACACACGACTCCCCCCCCCCGGTGCCCCCTTAGAAATGATTCAAAGTTGCTGACCAAAGTTTCTCTTGCGCAGCAAGGTACTCGTTATATATTCGGTGCTTCCAGTCCAACTACTGCCCGTGGCCTCTTCACTCTTCTTCTTGTCCTGTTCAGTGTGAACACCCTGGTGCCGCATCACCGGCCTCTTCTGGGACTAGTCATCAACGCACTGTTTGTCAGCGTCGGCAATCGATCTAAGAGGGACAGGGTCATTTCGACTTGCATCATGTCGACCTTTTCGAACGAGTCATTCTCGAAACTGGCATCGATCTCCACGCCGAGAATCTCAGGATTCTCGTGGATTTGGTCCTACTATCTCATCCCTGCGATTGTGGCCTACCCGTTTCTCTGCTCAGCTCTCCGCTTACGCCGACTGAACGCCCTTCGCGCCAAGTTCAAGTATGGCACGCCTGAGCACCCGTCTTACGAAGGAATGACCGTCAAAGAAGCCCATGATATTCTCAGAGCTGTGAGCGACCTGGAATTTCCGTCCCTGTTCGAGAAAGGCCTCCAGTTTGCACTATTTCGGACGTACGCAATTCCGAGCATTAGCGAGCTCTTGGTAAAGACAACGCAACTCGTTGCAGAGAAGAATGTGCCCAAGCGATACGCCGACACCGGTGTATTGCTCGGCGATATGTATGGTGGTGAGCCGGACAGCGATAGATGTATCGAGGCTTACGCCAGACTGAATTACTTACACGGGCATTACATCAAACAAGGTAAAATCAGCAATGATGACATGCTCTATACATTGTCGTTGTTTCTCACCCAGCCTGTGGAATGGATCAACAAGTACGAGTGGAGACAACTCACCGACTTGGAAGTGTGCGCAATGGGCGTATTCCACAAAGCCATGGGTGACGGGATGGAAATCTCTTTCGAGAAACTCCCTTCATACTCGACAGGATGGAAAGATGGCCTGCACTTCTATCGGGAGCTAGATACCTGGTCGAAGCAATATGAGGAGACATATATGGTGCCTCACCAGAAGAACTACGATACGGCGGTGCAGACTCGAAACTTGCTACTGAGCACTCATCCTCCCTTCATGAAGCCTATTCTTACCAAGGTTGTGAGTGCTCCCTTGGACGACCGGCTGAGGAAAGCTATCATGTTCGAAGAGGCACCGCCGTCATACCGAGCATTCTTCCACGGCTTCATGGAATTGCGACGTTTCTTTCTGAGATATCTTGCTTTACCTAGGCCACCATTCATGGCAAAGCAGCTCATGACCAAGGAGCCTGATGCGAACGGCAGACGGTACTATGTTACATGGGACACTGCACCTGTCTACGTCAAGGCAACTCTGTGGAATAGATGGGGTCCTGGGGCAATGATTCACCTCCTGCTTGGAATCCCCCGTCCGGGAGACCCAGGTACATATCCTGAAGGATTCGAGATTAGGAGTACAGGACCATCTGTGTTCGCCGGCAAGGGATCCAAAGAAATGGAGATGACCAGGGAAAGACTGAAGAAGGAGAGGACAGGCGGCTGTCCGTTTGCCGTCGGTCGAGCTTGAGTTTACCCTACGTGATATAGACTGGAGAGATAAGTCAATGTCCGATAGCCAAGTAACCCCGAAGGAGATTTTGTGCCACTGCGCCCTATGACTCTCGACGAGCGCAAGGCTTTGCAAGACATTGTTTTCAGCCTCTTGCCTCTTACCCCATTTTCAGTACATCAACGCCGCTCCCGCCAATAGAGAGACGCCCAGGAGGCGCCTATCAGTGCACATTAGGCCCTGAACGGGCATCTCCATGCCTAGCAACCAACCACCACCCCCGCCACCAACCGATGATAGCCAGAGGGGGATGCATTTGATCTCAAAAACTCGACGTGGGGCGCTTGTTTGTGGTTTGCGACGAGGGGAGGAGTAAATTCAGTTTCGTCAGGTGGCACTGGCCTTTTGCATAGAAATGTCTGGTTCAATCAGAGCAGTCTTCTCGTTTTCTCGACCGTCTCTCCCTTCTGCTACTGCTCCCACCACTCGATCCCTTCACAGTCTCCGCCAACCTCGCAGCACAATGTCGACCCTCGCAGCTTTCCGCCTACCGAACATCACTAACGAGCCGAACAAGCATTATGAGAAGGGAGGTCCGTCGCGCGAGGCCCTAGCTTCTGCGGTGGTAGCTCTGCAAGAGAAGGCGCCCCTCGAAGTTCCTCTAGTTGTCTCTGGAAGAGCTGTCAAGACGTCCTCCATCCTCACACAGAAAAGCCCTTCCTCCCACGCAACCACCGTGGCCAAATACTCCAATGCCTCGACCGAAGATGTCAACAGCGCTATTGAAGGTGCCCTCGCTGCAAAGCCCGCCTGGGAATCTTTGCCCTTCGCCGATCGAGCCGCGATATTTCTCAAGGCCGCTGATCTGATCAGCACAAAATACAGATATGAGCTGATGGCTGCAACAATGCTGGGACAGGGAAAGAATGCATGGCAGGCGGAGATCGATGCGGCCGCAGAGCTAATTGATTTTCTTCGATTCAATGTACGGTATGCGGAGGAACTATATGCGCAGCAGCCACCATACAACTCTCCAGGGGTTTGGAACAGAGTCGAGTACAGGCCACTTGAAGGCTTTGTCTATGCTATTTCTCCATTCAACTTTACGGCTATCGGAGGGAATCTGCCTGGTGCCCCAGCTTTGATGGGAAATGTGGTAATCTGGAAGCCCAGTCCGTCGGCCATTGCGTCAAATTATCTGATCCATCAGATCCTCACCGAGGCTGGACTCCCTGCTGGCGTCATCCAGTTTGTACCCGGTGACGCCGAGGAAGTTACCAAGGCTGTCCTCAACCACAAGCAATTCGCAGCTCTGCACTACACGGGATCGACGGCTGTCTTCCGAAAGCTATATGGGCAGATTGGACAGGGCATTGCCGAAGGGAGGTACAAGGGTTACCCCAGAATAGTGGGAGAAACTGGCGGGAAGAACTTTCATCTGGTCCACAACAGTGCCGATATCACCAATGCAGTGGTGCAAACAATCAGGGGTGCGTTCGAGTATCAAGGTCAAAAATGCAGCGCTTGCTCCAGACTCTATGTGCCGTCGTCGATATGGCCCGACTTCAAAACCAAGCTTGTTGAGGAAACCGAGAAGCTCAAAGTTGGACCTCCAGAAGACTTTGGAAACTTTATCGGACCAGTCATTCACGAGGCAAGCTTCAAGAAGCTGTCTGGTGTGATCGACGCTGCGAAGAACGATAGTTCACTGGAGCTTCTTACTGGTGGCAAATACGACAGCTCAAAGGGGTGGTATGTGCATCCTACCATCTACGTCGCCAAAGATCCAAGCCACCAGAACTTGAGCACCGAGTTCTTTGGACCGATTCTGACAGTCTATGTCTACGATGACGCCGCCCCGGATGCATTCGAAAAGGCCTGTAAGCTCGTAGATAGTACTTCGGACTATGGTCTGACAGGAGCGGTGTTTGCTCAAGATCGTGCGGCTGTAAGGTATGCCGAGGAGGCTTTGAGGAATGCGGCCGGCAACTATTATATCAATTGTAAGAGTACAGGTAAGTGTGGGACTTGATGAGCTGGTGTCTGCAATTCACTGACTTGGAGAACAGGTGCTGTCGTTGGCCAGCAACCATTTGGAGGTGCACGCGCTTCGGGGACAAATGACAAGGCTGGATCAGCAGCGATCTTGTCGCGATTTGTCAGTATGAGGTCGATGAAGGAGGAGACGTTGCCAACTACAAAGGTGGAATATCCTTCCAATGAAGTGTAACAGAGACAGGACTCAAAGCGGATATTTTTAATACCCGGCATCACATATGTCATGCCTGCATTAACAACGATAGCAAAAGTATACACCTTTTTTCCAAGTGCGAACATGACTATGTCACATCATATCGCGGTGAAGCTGGTGTCGATCCCTGCGCGTCTCCTTTGTATTGCCGAAAGGCCCAAAACGGAAAGGCGTTGACTCTGGTTAGCGCCTTCTTCACCGCCTGACCTTGTGCCTATCGCGCTGGATGCTTGGCGCTCCACTGCCCAAACTTCGAGTTTGTTGACCTGCGGCCTTCAATTCTGTCTCGTCGTCCACAACTGCACCTCACCACCTTACCATATTCTGGAGAGACCGTTCTTTGGAGTAGCTCTTCCATCATCTTCATCATCTCGCAACCTAACCATAATTCCTCCATCACCCTCATCACTCCAACACCATGCGTGAAATAGTGAGTTTGCTACGCGTCCCAAACGCTGTTTACCCCTGTCCTTGCACCCCGCCATTCAATGTCCCTTCAAAGCTCAGAGACTGACATGTCCATCACAAATAGGTTCACTTGCAAACCGGCCAATGTGTGAGTGCTATCGAGCCAAATTATCAGTGTTTTTTTGGAGACTGACAAAAATTCGTAGGGCAACCAAATTGGTGCTGCGTTCTGGTATGCCGCCTTCTAACACGCGACAACTTCATATCTAACGAGCTTCCAGGCAGATCATCTCAGGAGAGCATGGCCTTGACGGCTCTGGAGTGTATGTCATTACCTATGTCCATCCCCTTGACCATGGAGTTGACCATGCAAATAGTTACAATGGCACCTCGGATCTCCAACTTGAACGCATGAACGTCTACTTCAACGAGGTATGTCCATCCCTAGATCCTCCAACTTCGTTCACCCCTGACATGTATACAGGCTTCCGGAAACAAATATGTCCCCCGTGCCGTCCTCGTTGATCTCGAACCTGGTACTATGGACGCTGTTCGAGCTGGCCCCTTCGGTCAGCTCTTCCGTCCTGATAACTTTGTCTTTGGCCAGAGCGGTGCTGGTAAGAGGATTGAACAGCTCCATACCATAAAAGTGACCACACCAATAATACCCCTTTGCAGGAAACAACTGGGCCAAAGGCCACTATACCGAGGGTGCCGAGCTTGTAGACCAAGTTCTCGATGTCGTCCGACGTGAAGCCGAGAGCTGCGATTGCCTTCAAGGGTTCCAGATCACCCACTCCCTTGGTGGTGGTACTGGTGCCGGTATGGGTACATTGTTGATCTCCAAGATCCGAGAAGAATTCCCCGACCGAATGATGGCCACTTTCTCCGTGGTCCCCTCCCCCAAGGTTTCCGATACTGTGGTTGAACCATACAATGCTACCCTGTCTGTTCACCAATTGGTCGAGAACTCGGATGAGACCTTCTGCATCGACAACGAGGTATGTCATATATCTGATCATGGTTCGCTCTATTCTGACCTGCATAGGCTCTCTACGACATTTGCATGCGCACCCTCAAGCTGTCCAACCCTTCATATGGCGACTTGAACCATCTTGTCTCGGCAGTCATGTCGGGCGTCACCACTTGCCTGCGTTTCCCCGGTCAGCTCAACTCTGACCTTAGAAAATTGGCCGTCAACATGGTCCCCTTCCCTCGACTTCACTTCTTCATGGTTGGCTTTGCTCCTCTCACCAGCCGCAACGCCTACTCCTTCCGCGCCGTCAGTGTTCCCGAGCTTACACAGCAGATGTTCGACCCCAAGAACATGATGGCTGCTTCCGACTTCCGGAACGGCCGATATCTGACTTGCTCTGCTATTTTCCGCGGCAAGGTCAGCATGAAGGAAGTTGAGGATCAGATGCGTAACGTTCAAAACAAGAACAGCAGCTATTTCGTCGAGTGGATCCCCAACAACGTGCAAACCGCTCTTTGCTCGATTCCCCCACGTGGCCTGAAGATGTCATCTACTTTCGTGGGCAACTCTACCTCTATCCAAGAACTCTTCAAGCGCGTTGGTGACCAATTCACGGCCATGTTCCGACGCAAGGCTTTCTTGCATTGGTACACCGGCGAGGGAATGGACGAGATGGAATTCACCGAGGCTGAGTCCAACATGAATGATCTCGTCTCGGAGTATCAACAATACCAAGATGCCAGCATCTCCGAGGGAGAAGAGGAGTACGGCGAGGAGGAGGCTCCTTTGGAGGAGGAAGCATAAATCCACATCAAGTTTCCCTACACGACGAGCTGGGTCTGTCTCTTGTCAGTGTACTTCTGAACACAGCAAACAATGTCGGTGGCATGGTTGCAGTAGTGTGGACAAGTTAGAAGGACAGGACCATTGATTGGTTTTGGAATCCCCATCAGCACCAAATTTCCGTTGATTTTCTAGGGCGATGCGATGCAGGGCAGGATGAAGAATATCAGGCATCGACTAAGCTGAGACCAGCCCTTTCATCCATAGCAAGCAAGCGTGGCGAAGGTAGTGAATTGGAATGAAGCAGTTTCATTCTCTATCAGAGGTTGACTTTTTGACGTGTTCGTAGAAGTAGCCATGCCATGCACATTTGTACGTCTGAAGATGGTGCCATGGGATACATGCGTGTTTATGTAGAAGTCTGGAAGTGAAGTCGACAGCCGTGTTTTGTCTCTTATCACCGAGCACCTGGACATTTTCATCTCTGCAGATTGAATGACTAAAGTCGTTTTTGGTTCTTGTACTCAGTACCTGTCACCCCACAACCGAGGGAGGGTGTATATACATACGCAACACTCCCTCCCCCCAACACCGACACAGATGTACACCTATGTAGTCGGTATATAGAGAGACAGAGAGACATTTTTGCACGGATTTGTCTACGTCTTTCTTCCGCACAGGACATGTGATACTAGGTATATATTTCCCTTGTATGGTGTGTCTCGGAACACCGCACAGGACGTGGAAATGGTAGATATACAGCGGGTGGGATTGAAAGGACGAGATCGGACCAGATCAGATCAGCTCAGGTCGGGTTAGAGAAAGAGGAGGAAGAGAAAGACAAAGGGGCCTATATCTATATCTATTTCGCTATACTGGCTCCCTCGTACCCGGTACCCGTACCCGTGCTTCTCCTCGTGAGGTGTAAGGTGTGAGTGATGTTGTATCATATGATATGATGTGATGTGATGTGATGTGATGTGATGTGATGTGATGTGATGTGATGTGATGTGATGTGATGTGATGTGATGTGATGTGATGTGATGGCAAGAGACCTGCCTAGATCTTTTCTCTCTCTTTCCCTCTCTCTCTATATATATCTATCCATCTGTCTACCTTCCTTGCAGGACCCCGCAGGACGGATCAGGACAGGACAGGACATATGGGTGGGGGCCACTTGCAGTACTTTTTTCCACAGCCTCAGTTCTCAACCTCAACTTCAGTGTCAGCCTCGGCATTCCCCTCAGCCTGATGGTACTGGTCCTGGTACTGGTGCTGATAAGGGTAATGGTAATGCTAACGGGCGTGGGTAGACATCCACTCATGCGAGCAGCCTGTAGCTTGCAGTCTTCTGGCGAGGACTGTGTAATGGTGATGGAGATGGCCAGAGTAAGGCTGAGGGAATATTACCCAAGGCCCACCACCCACTTGGAAAGATCAAACTAAGACGTGTACAGAGCGTCGTCTCGCACCTTGCGCCACGGCTCAAATCTGACCGCACCTGTGCATCTGGTGACCTGGTAGTGTCTTGGACTAATATCACGGTAGTCATGGAATTGGAGCGAGCAAGCAAGCAATCAATCACTGAACTTGTCAACCTTGAGCTAAAAACCCCGGCACCCCACACCTTGCTTCAGCTAATGTCGTCCCCGAGGCTGCCAGCTGCATTGCCGCTTTGCCAGGCAATGGACATAATATCAGTTCTCGAGCAATTGCTGGGAAAGAGTCATCTACGAGGTACATGTCGCCCTAGTAGTCGGGCATCTTCCACTGATCAAGGGGAGATGACCCGTTGTCGGCCTCTTGCTATCGTGACTTGTCCAAAACATCATCCCGTTTGCCAGGTTACCATCCGCGCGCCCTTGTTCAGAGCCCAATCGTTCAGAGCCCAGTCTTTCGTCTCCCATGCCCAGAAAAGTATCCATGCAAAAAAAGTTGTAGCCGCCGCCATCTCAATGTCGTTTCTTCGTCATGCAGAGGTAGCTATGCTCGACCGCCAATCTGCTCTTGATGGACTTCGATGGAATCGCCATCTTGCATTTCAAGCTGCGCACATTTGTCAGCGGGCTCTGAGTCTTCCCCTCTTGGTAGTCTCATCACTCACTTGTTCGGGGGTATCACCAGCCTGCACCTTTTGACCGTCGAATAGAAACCGCGCTGCCTTGGGATCTTTGCCTTGTCTCTCGCAGAATGCCCGCATCAGCTTCTCCAACTTTGTGCTTCGCTTGATCTTGAAGAAAACTTCGTTGTTCCCGTCTGTGACCTTGATATTCAGATGCTCGTTGTTGGTGACTCCAGCAGGCGGCGCATCACCAGCCGCACCGTTTGGCGACCCTCCTTGGCCAGCGTCGGACATTTTGGTGGTGTAGAAGGTGTTGAAAAAGACGGAGAAGTGAGGAATGTGGCAAGTGCCTAAGGAAGCGCGTATCGGAGTTAGCGCTGGTCGCGTTTCACAAGAAGCGGAGGCCGGAGTGTTGGAACAAACCTGAAGGCCGATCTCCAACGAGGTCTTCGGTGATGGGATGGGGATTAGCGGGTATGCGAGTGTAGAGCGGTGGGAGCTGTGATGGTCTCTGAAGTGAAGGGAAAGTGGAACAAAAGAAAAGGAAGAGCGAGACTTTGGTTACGGGAAGTTAAATATGTAGAGAAGTCACACACAGCGCAAGAAGAGATGATGGCAAATAAATAATAATTGATAGCAAAATGCGTCTTTGTTTTCTCCTCTAGGGCCTTGCCGACTTGCCTTTCTGTCCAATCCCGTGGCAGTCGCTACATGAGGTTGAGGTGAAGTTGGATCAAAGGTTTGCCACCCACCGCAACTAAAGCCCCACGCAGATCCTCAGTGTGGAAACTGATGGTTTGGCTCCGGAGTGCAGTATAGACAGGGCGAGCCTCTATAGTCCTTATGAGTTGTCAGTCTCACCGTCGCCTCAGCGCTCTTTCTTATTCTCTTTCCCCCATCCCAATATTGCTGGTCAGCCTGAGAATTGACAAGAAAGAGTATCCAAGATATCACTCTAGCAAATGACCACAGGCGGTGAAAGATATCCGTTTGGATTTGTCCATTTGGAAAGCCAGCCTTGGATGTCAAACATATCAAGCCACTGAGTAAATGAGCACGTTGATCTAACACACGCACAGCATCTATACCCACGTCGACGGTTGCTGAGCATCTCTCTTTCCGCCTGCTCCTCCGCCGACACTTTGTCCCTGCATCTGACTGCCACTGCTTCCCCCTCCCCCCAGTCCTCTCTTCATCATCCGCCCTAATATTCCCACCATTTCGGCCGCATCCTGAAACGAATCATCATCCATACCCTCCTGCGCTTCATACACGTGTCTGATGGCCATCCTTGCCATCTTCCGCGATGCCTCCGCTTCGTGGAGACAATCGTAGACGTATGCCACGTATTCGACTTTGACAGACAGGCGGACCGGGTGAGAGCCGGGAAGAAGGCGCTCGGCGAGTTCGTCGGCTTCACGGAACGCTTGAGTTGCGTAAGGGGTGTAATCCTGCAAAAGAAGAAGAAAAGTTGCTGTGCCGTTGCCATTACCATCACCGTTGTTGCCATTGGCATGGTAAGGATATGTTGCAGGGAGAGGAAGACCAGGAGGAGTCCGGGTATTCGCTGTCATTCCCCCACCACCCACTGGGCCCCCAAGACTGATAGCTGGCGATCTTCTTCGTCCGTTTCCCGCAGGAGATCTGATTGTGGTGGCTTGTCTGCCGAGCCTTTCTCTATCCTCCCTTGACTCCCGCGGACTCAAAGGTTCAGGAAACAAGGTATAACTCGCATCCCTACTCCCAATGCTCCTTCTCCGATTAATGCGATCGTTCACGGGAGGCTCATTATGAAACAGCACAAAAATATGGTAGAAGCTGGCCTTCAGTTTGTAACTCAACACCTTGAGTTCCACGTAATGGCCAACCATCGGGAGCACATATTGCTCCACCATAACAAGGCCTTCGCGGGCGAGCCATAATATGTGGTGAATTAAGTGGCGGGCTTTTGGGTCTCGAACTGGGTCGAGCCGTTTTGCGCGGCGTGCGCGTAGAAGTTTCTCAGCAAGAATTACCGAAAGGCCGAGGACGCGGAACAGGAAACTATTGATCATGTCTGTGTTAACAGCGTCCTTGAACACAGACCGGGGCCTTACCTAGAAAGATAATTGTTCTCCGTGGTAGTAACTTTTGCAAAGTAGCCCAGAAACTTTTGATCCACCTCTGAGGAGGCCATCCAAATCGAATACAAAGGAGGGTCTAATTGACCCTTGCTGGACGGCTGCCACTGTCGAGATAGATATGTCAGTTCCCCGTAACCTTCTTTCCATCGTTTGCGCGCTTTTGTGGGTATTGGCGACTCCGATATGCCGTCGGTCCTAATTCCATCTGTATCCATTCTTTGTTTTTTGACCCAGAAGTCGTGGAAGTCGCTGGCGAGTGGTGTTTAAAACATCCGCCAAGAACCGTCAACTGGAGCAAAGACACTTTGGAAGGCTTGTGGTTGTAAGGGCCTGAATGAACCGGGAATGACTGAAGAAACTCCTGGCTACCCTCCCAGCGTATCGGCTTGTTGGTAGGGCAAAAAACTCGAGAGGTGCTTCTTGGTTGGATGGATGCAAGAACAGACGGACGAAGAAATGCTTCAATAGAGAACTTGGGTTTGTGATACAAGCGAAACATGCAATTTACCTCTAGCCGCCCGGCCTGAATGCGAAGGCGCTTACAACAAATGCCCGCCTTATAAAATTAAGGGGTTCGTGTGGAAGGTTGAACAAGGCTGTCCCAGCCTTGGGTCACCTATTTCGGAGTTTGGGCCTTTCGGAGAATTTGCTTCAACAGGTCGGAGAAAAGCACGTTGAGACCGCCGGCCGTTTTTTGGGTAAAAGTGACTTTTGACTTCGTCTTGGATTATTTAGGAGGGAATGGAAGTGGGATCAGGCGAGCGGGCGTGCGTGCAAACGAGTGACTGTCGCTTTCTGTCTATCAAGATGCGCTTCTTTTCCCGTGGGTATCGACT